GCTCATCACGAGGTGGAGGTCACGGGGTCAAGGCCACCCCCCAACATGGTCAGCTCAAGGCCCACAGCGCATGTCCAGCTCAGGCCCTCTGGCTTCTCTCTCCTGCAGGGAGATGTCTGGTGAGGTGAGGCGGCGGGGTTGACAGGGGTCCCTAGCTGTGGGTCAGGGTCAGAGGCTGCCGCGGTGTGGGGGAGGGACCACAAGCCGGCACGTGAGCCGGCAGGAAGGCTCCGGCTCTGAGTCCTCTTGGCCATGAGTGAACCCCAAATAACTTCCGTTGGGTGCGAGTAGCAATGCTGACCTCCAGAGGTGCGGCGCGCCAGGCTAGGGCCATTTAGAAACAATTCATGATTTTTACGGAGCGGTTTTTTATTTTTGATCCCCCAAACACCTCATTTTGCAGAAAACACACTTCGGGCTTCCATCCATAGCTCACTGCGAACAAGGCCCCGCCTTGGCTGGCAAATCTTTTCTGGAACGACCCACTGTTTGTCTTATCCCGAAGCCAGCGACCCCGACTTTCTCCTGAGCCCCCGGGCCTTCCCGGGGCTCGGCTGCTGGAGCCTCTGCGGCCCCACGGGCTGGCCCCCTCCGGGCAGGTGCACCACCTGCGCTCAGAGCTCAGGCCCCAGCGCGAGGAGGGTCCCTCCCCCCCCAGCCCCCCGGGGGCACGAAGCAGGGTTCTCCCGCCGCAAGTAGGTGAACAGTCTCAGGCTAACCTAAGCAAACGGAATTCATCGTCGGAACTAGAGCGCTTGCCCCGTTGACAGGAACAGTTTGGAAACTGGCGCTTTGCCGAGGGCCGTGCCAGGGGCTCAAGCTCCCTAGGGGGGCCCAGGCCCCCATTATCCTGTGGATGGGGCTCTCGGTGAAGGAGAGGAGGACCCAGAGCCCCAGTTCCCTTCAGCGGCAGCCCCTGCGCCCCACTGCTGCTTCCGTGCCCACCGATGCGCACTGTGGGCCGCCTGGGGCCGGGCTCTGCGGGACTCGGGGCGCAGGAACCCCCAGCGGGGCGCGCTCCGCCCCTGCCCCTCCCCCGTCCCCAGTCCCGTCCTCCGGGGCCGAGGAACCGCGCACGCAGGCCTCCTCCCGGGCTGGGACCCTCACCCACGTCGCTTTTCCTGCCTGGGGCAGTCCACCTACCTGTCACCCAGTACGGCAGGGGGGGTTCTGTTCCTGGTGACGAATGCCGCGTTCAGAAACGCCGTCCACGAACTCCTCAACAAGCACAGTCTTCACGAGGAAGCTTCGCGCGGCCCAGGCCAAGGGAACGCGCACGTTTTCTCCGTGGTCAGGAAGACAGCGTGCGCGCACACGGAGCCTCCTGTGCGCTTGCGCAGTGCTGTGTGGGTGCCTCGCTGCCGCCAGGCTCCGATCTGCGCGCAGGGGCACTGGCTTCTTCAAGGCTCTGCGCCCCAGGCTCTCCGGGAAAGCAGACCGCCTCCCGGAAGGCAGTGCGGTGGCTCAGGACCCTGGCCCTGCGACCCCCAGCCACCTAGCTTTGGAGCCCCATCTGCCCCTTGCCAGCTGGCTTCCCTGGGGGCAGGTGTCTGCACCTCTCTGGGCGTCTCCTCACCCACAAACCGGGAGCCCTGACTGTGCCTGCCGCCCAGGGCCTGGTGGAGGCCCGTGGATTGACACAGGCCAAGAACACAGAAGGCCGCCTGGCAAACGGTCGTGTTCAGTAACCGTCCGCTGTCTTTGACGCGCAGGAGCATTGTCTGACATCCTGGGGATAGTGGGAAATGCGCAGTTTTCAGTGTCATATTTATGTACGCTGGAAGGTAGGCGGTCGATGGAGGCAGGGGAAAAGAGAAAAACGAAAACGTTCTTACCTCTGGCTCGTTGATGGCAGTGCCGGCTTCTGGAGCAAGAGGGCAATTTTGGAACTACAGGCCCCGGTGCTCTTGCCACCCGGAACCCCGTGCTCGCTGCAGCCGGCAATCCTGCCTCTCCCCAGGGCCGGCCTGCCTTGCCTGCACATGGGAATCACCTGGGTAGCTTTCAAAAAAGAAGCGGATGCCTGTCCCAGCCCCCAGAGATCTGTCCTCGTTGGTTCGGGCGTGGCCGCAGCACTGGGATCTGTACGCACTCCCAGTGATCCTGAAATGCACCGCGCACGGGGGAGAGTCACCCTATGACGCACGTGGGGATCCGGAGAGGGACGCCTCTCCTGGGGGCTCAGGATGGAGGCCTTGCTCCGGCCTACATTCCCGCCAACCAAGGCTAAGTCTGGTAGGGAGCAGTGGAGCCTTTGGGGCACGGCCAGGTGGTGGGTCTACATGGCCAGGTGCCCCCCGCGAACGTACCCCCGGGAGAGCGTAAATCCCTCTGACCTCAGCCCTGCTGTGTGTGCGCACCTGCATCTCCCCGGGAGCGGGGTCTGGGACAGCTGCGTGTGTGGTTGAGGACCGCACTGGGGTTCATCTTTACAGCCCTAGAATTCACGAGTCATTTCATCAATAGTTGAAGAAAACCACAAGTGAATAAGGAACAAAATGATGTTTTTATTAAAAATCGTACCCATAGCACCTCTCTGTCTTCCTACAAGTTTTTTTTTTCTTTTCTTTCTTTTTTTTTAATGAGATCTGGTTTTCTGCACAATTCCAGAAAACGTTGTTGGGAAAACTTGAGGATTGACCTAAGCTCTCGATGACCCAGAAGGTGCCGTGGAGGGGAGATGAGGCGTGCCTCCGCAGACTAGCTCAGTTCACAGATGGCTACAGTGTTTCTGCCTTCCCGACCCCCAGTCCATGCTACAGGGATGCTGCATTAAGGACAGCCAGATTGGGATACGTGGATGGATTGCTCATTGGGAGAACAACTACACTGTGTGCCAAGAATTCGTAAAAACTAGAAACCATGCTACGATCCATTACGCAAACACCATGCTTCAGTCCAGTCGTGATCAAATACAAGCCCAGCATCAAAAGAAGTTTACAGAGCATGCGCGACTCTTCCTCCTGGCGGCGTGGACGTTTACCCTGGCCGTGGGCCTCATCCCTTGCTCGCGGGGGCATGGGTCCCCACCTTGCCCTAGGCCACACTGTCGTCTGCTACGACATTTCATTGAGTACTCCTTAAAAGCTTGGCTGTAAGAGCAGCGGAGGGGAAGGCTGTGGGAGGAGGGGCTCGGTGTGGGCCCATTTAGCCAGGAGGGGGTACACAAGGCCATGCTGATGTGCTTCACGCCTGCTGGGTGTGGGGACTGCCTGCAGCTGCCGCCGCCGCTCACCTGTCTGGGCAAGTTGTGCTCTGGTGCCCGGCGGAGAGGGGCAGCCCCGTGCATGCCCAGCCCTGCGGCTCCGACAGACAGCCTGGCCCCTCGTGGCCACTTCGCTGCTTCACCCCCACCTGTCAGCTCCATCTCCAGGGACCCACCTGAGGGCGAGCCTGGGGGCGCCCAGCGGCCGGCCGGGGAGCTCCCGCATGACGTCACTCTGGAAGACGGCAAGAAGCAGACGTCTCATCTTGTCTTGGTTAACTGTTGCTCGTTCGTGTGAGATAGTTTGTTTTTCCTCCGTAAAGGTGAGAGGCCGGGAAGTGACGCTCGTCCCCGCGCTACTGCTGGGGGTGGGGGGGAGCAGATACCGGACTGCGAACACCCTCTCTTCCTCTGGGTGCAGCCTCTCCCCAGGGACCGGCTAACAGCGGGTCCACATACAGCGCAGGCTCAGCAGTTCCACACAGGGCAAGTTCAGGGAGGGGAGAGAAAGCACAGGGAAGGGAATGAGCCTTGGAAAAGGGTGTCACGTCGCGGCAGAAGCCCCCAAGGCAAAGAACACACCTCAAACCAGATGGTCCTCGTTCCAACACGTTCTAACACATTCCCCCGTTATTTAAAGCAAAGTCCATATGGCTTAGAGAGCGCAGTGCACGGAAGGCAGGGTTTGTCCGATTTCTCTGCTGGCGCCTGTCTTCCAGGAAGTTCCGCTTGCATCTCGGGGCCGAGAGCAATGAGCAGGGGCTCTGGACCCGAGGGGCGTCCTGTCCCGTGAACTCTGGTGGGTGATTCTCATGCACAAGTGGCTTTGGGCAGAGCATCTAGGATTTTTGGTTTAGAATATTTCTGCCTCCACTCAGAAAAAGGCAGCAGGAAGGAGAGAAGGAAGGGAAGGAGAGAGAAAGGAACCTTCCCTCTAGTTTTGGAAACACTGAAAAGGGGCTTTTCACCCAACACAAAACTCTCCTCGGTCTCCTGGGGCCACAGGCAGCCCCTCTGAAAGCGGAGGGCCCCATGGAGGTGTACAAGGAAGACAGCAGAGTAGACACCGCACGCTCTCCGTGTGGCCCGGAGACGGGCTCCCCCACCCTCAGGGCACTGCAGGTCATCTGGGAGGACAGCACGTGCCTCGCTCCCCTGGGCCTTGGGGGTGTCAGCAGGATGCTGGGCAGTATCATGGCCACACTCCTCTGGCGAGGTGGGGACACCGGGCCCTCCCTGAGCTCTGGGCGCAGTCTGGCCGGCCCCAGCAGCACACCGCGTATACCTGGACCTAGGCTCTGGCCTGGAGGGTCGGCCCTGCTCCTCAGCCACATCAGACCCCTCTTGCAAGAATAATGTGATGGCTGGAACCACAGCTACAGTTTGGACTCTCGAATTTTCAATGTAGTTCATGCTATTTTCATATAGCTAAAAAACTAAAATGAAAACAATAGCGAAGGGGAAAAAAAAAGTTTCCAGAAAACCCGTTAAGGCTAGAAGCTGGGCTGGGGTCGGGGTGGGGGACGCAGCGGCACTGGTGGGCAAGGCAGTGGGCAGCAGGCGGAGCAAGGAGACCAGGGGGCCATGCTCAGAGGAAGGCCGGCGCCCACCTGTGCAGGAGGCCTGGCGAGGAGGCGGCAATTCGGGCCTCGTTTGCTCAGAGCTGTTTTGCTTTATTTGGAGACACTGACGCTTTTCGTCTCTCATGTACAAAGCTAAACAATTAATAAAAAGGCACCTGGAGACAGCAGAGACTCATTCATTTCATGTGACATATTTTAAAAAAAGATAAAAAGATTTAAAAAATACTCTGGTTAACAATGCACACCTCTTACACAACAAACGATTCTGCAAGCGCCGTCTGGTTCTGTCTGGGTTAGCGGGGTTGGCCATGTGCTGTGCTCTCGGGAAGGAGCTAGCTTGCTGAGTGAGGGCCGGCGTGGGCCTTCCAGCCCCGGGGTGGTTTCCTGCTCTGCACTGTCGGGTTTAAGGACAGAAAGGAAGAAAAAGGACCAGATATTTCACCACAGGGGTCACACGGTGCAACCAATGGGGTCATCACCGGGTCAGACGACCCCACCTCGCAATCTCTTGCCCCTTGCCAGGAACCTGGAAGCTGATTCCTTGCCTAGAAACTGCAGAGGGAGAGTATTTCAGAGGTGGATGCAGTCAGGTGGAAAAGCGCAGAGCCCAGGGCAGACTTTGCTCTGCAGGCCGGGAGGCGGCCAGAGCCCAGCCGGGCGGTGTCACCGACGGAGAGCCCGGCGCACAGCTGGTTCTCCAGAGGCACAGGAGGTTGAGAAGAGGAAGGAGCGGTCTGGACACAGGATCCCTCGATCCCCGCTCTTCCTCCCCCCGCAGCCTCCCTAGTTGGGCGTCGGGATGGAGAGACCCGGGGCCGGGGGGTTGGGGGGGGGTCTGAGCCTTCCCGCCATTGCACCACTGAAATACACCTTCTCGTAAAAAGAAAAGGAAACAAAGAAACCCGCTTCCTGCAGCGATGTTACAAAAAGCCGTTAAAAAAACCTTCCTAATTGAAATCTAGTGTCCACAAGTAGGTAAAATCATCACTTATCAGAATTCTCTTTAAACAAAAGCTTGAGCTCAGTTATTGGAGTTGATTGTCTTAACAAAAGGAGGCTGGGAGGTCCGCCGAGGCCCCGTTGGGGCCGTCACACGAAGGAGGAGAAGCCGGTGAGCGGAGTCCGGGTGCCAGGGCCCGCGGGTGCAAACACGGCGCTCTGCGTGGTGACCACGGTGTGCAGGTGCGGCCCCGCCTCGCCGCCCGCCACCGCCTCGTACCTGTGTGGGGCGCGCCCGCCTGGAGCCCGCCGCTTCCACGAGTTGTAGTAGGTGGGGTCGCTCATGTAGTGGTTGACGAAGGAGTGCTGGGGGGGCGCGTCCTCGGACTCAGAGTCGGTGCCCTGGGGGGGACAGTGAGGGGTGAGCAAGCACACGGAGGGGGAGCACAGCTGGGGGGGGTGGGCATGGGGGAGGGCAGTCATGGGGGAGCGTCGGGGGCAGTCACGGGGGAGGGCAGCCACGGGGGAGGGCAGTCACGGGGGAGCATGGCGGGGACGTGGCCACAGGCAGCAGGGCTGAGCTGGAAGCAGGGAGCTGCCAGGACGCAGGAGTAGCATTCACGACCCAAAGCGGGAAGGTCTGTGTCCGTTCCCGCCCTCTTCCCCTTCCTACCCCGCAATGCCACCCTCCACACTAGGTGCGCCCTCCCCAGCCTGACCGCCCCCCGCAGATGCCCGGCTGAGCTCAGCAGCTCCGCTGTGTTCACGCGGGACAATGTGCTGTCCCAGCTGCTCCTAACCCCTCCGTGCGTCTGAGCCTGTCCCAGGAGGGGTCCACACTGCACTTCGGCCCCAGGACAGGTCTCCATACCCTCCAGGGGGTGCTCTGTGTCCTCACGTGGCAGAAGGCCCGTATGGTGGGGCCCAGTGGGCTTGCCTGAGCCTGCGGTGTAGGCTGGCCAGACCAGAGGGAGTGGGCCCTGAGCACACGTGGAGGCGAGGAAGGGGCATCCTCCATGGGATACAAATTCCACGTGCTGTCACCTCCATGCACACCTCTGTGGGAGGCTGCCGAGGATCGAGGCCCGAGTGAGCCATGAGGTCTAACGAAGCCACCCAGCCCTGGCTCCCCAGGCCCTAGAGAGACCTGGCCCCTCGCCGAGCGGTACACAAGAGCCCGCCCTGTTGACGCGTGAAGGCCAGTCCGGGAGGGTTTCTCTCCCTTTTTTTTTTTTTATCACATAAATCCACAGTTTCCATTAAGAACATTTAGTCCATGGCGTTTCTGTGTTCGTATTCGTGAAGCAAAACTCTATTTCCTGGTTTCCAGGGATCGATTTTAAATCACTGGAAGCACTGCTAGCAGGGACAGTGGGTGAGACCGTTTTCCCAAGACAGTGGAGGCCCCCCCTTCCCCTGCCCCAGAGGTGCTCTGTGGCCCTGGGAGCTTCCTGCACCCCGGGGAACTCTGCCACCTGCCGGGGTGCAGCCCGCAGGCTCTGCTGCCAGGCCCCACACCCTGAAAACACAGTGGGCTCCTCCCCGTGCCACGGGGGACCTAGCAGAGGCCACGGACACCTCAAATATGCCAAAAACGGTTCCACAGACGTGTGCCTGCCAGCCTTTCAAGTTCAAGGGGTGGGGTGGGTGGGACGGGAGACTGTGGCTGGGTAAAGCCTCTCCCATTCCCGATGCCCTGGCTGGGCTCTGTCCCTGCCGCTCCGCACGCCCCCTCTCTGGGCCCTGCCTGAGCTCTGCCCTTTTTCCTCTCCCTAGAGGGTGTCAGGAGGCCCCCGAAGGCTGTCTCAGAATCACCAGGGAAGTTTTGGGAGAGCACAGATCACTGGGTGTGGTTCCTGCTGTCTTGATGGCGAGGGTCTGGGGCAGGGGCCGGGAATGTGCATTTCTTAGAAGCTCGGGGGGATTCTGATCAGTGGTCAGGCCGGAGTGAGGGCAGGGAAGGCGGGGAGAGCCGACTGCTGGTCCCCATTCTACGTGCCGTGTGTATAGAGACTCATGAAAGCCAGAGAGTGTCCCTTGGTGCTCTGAGCCACTCTCCCTCATCTGATGGGGAGGGCATGGCCCACGTCACCCCCACGCAGGAAGCTCGATACGGGGACTCATGCTGTCCTCCACCCGGGGAGCTGGCGCTGTGTCCTGTAAGCCTATGAAAGTGGGCAGAAGTCCCTTGTGAACATCGAGGGGAGCCGGAGCCTCCTGGGAGTTTCCAGACGCAGACTGAGAATCTGGCTCTCACTCGAATATTTACAGGAAAGTAACAGTAAGTCACAGATTTGGGACTTCTCAGGACGTGAAATGTAAACTGTTTATGTTATGGAGCAATCAGCGGCTGGCGGCTGAATGCATCTGTGGTTCTTCTGCTTTTTACGGAGTCAGAGCTCATGCAAATGCAGGTCTGATGAAGGTCCCCTCCTGACACATCCCAGGATGCGGAGAGCGTCCAGCCCCTCCATAATCGGACAGCGATAATGGCAAGAGAGCCAAGAGGCGCTGCTTTTTAGCAGACGGTGCTACATGCAGAGTGACCCCCTGCACAGTCTCTGACACCACACAGCGGCCTGTGAGCTGCAGAGTTTTATTCCTATTTTAGGGATGAAGAGAGAGGCTCAGAGAGCCGGCAAGCTGCCCAGTGTCCCAGGCAGGGTGGGAGCCGCGCCCGGGCCTTGCAGCCCCGAGGCTCCCACTGCCTCGTCTTCGTGTTGGCTGAGCCGACTCACGACCCCCCACCCGTCATTCCCAGACCCACCGAGCTCTGAAAACCAAAAGCTGTTTTTGTAACTCATCTGGTGGCAAAGCCTGACCCGCGTTGGGCTAATTTGGCAGCTAACCCCAAGCTGAACTGACGTGAAACTATCTAGCGTGAATAGTGCTCGGTTTTGCTGCAGAAATGCTAATGTAGTTTGGTCGGAGATTGCTGCCCCGACCCTGCTGGGGACGTGACCTAATGGTCAAGGTATCCCCATAGCCGAAAAACGCTGAGTTCTTCAATGGACCTGGCCTCGGGAGTTGCAGATAAGAGATCGGGCACCTGTAATTCTGGCAGCTAAAGTTTGTTTCTTTCTCTGTTTTCCAGCGGCCTCAAGGGGCTTAGGAGGCAAAGCTCTGTGTTCACCGAGTCCAGCAGGAACGAGGGCAAAGGTCACCTGAAGGATCAGGGGGAGTCTATGTTATCGGCCCCTGAGCTGGGTTTGTCCCTTCTTCACACACCCATCTTGGCTCTAAGATCTGCAAGCTCAGGAGCAAAGAGTTCCCATGGAGATGCGTGGGGGGCAGCCTCCTCTCGAGAAAGGCACAGAACACTTAGGATGATGACAGCAGGTCCCACACCATCTGGGGTCAGGGGTCATGGTTATGTGAAGATTGAACGTAAGATTCAAGATTTTCAGCCTCCTCACACCGTACCCTCTGGTGCTCCGAGGCCGCGCCGCGCACCGCCCATCCCAACCACAAAGGATACTTGTGAGCAAAAGTGTGCGAAGGAGCGACTGGAGTCAATCTCCTCGCTTTGTGTCCGAAAGGACCAAGACCCACACAAGCACGCGACCTTCCCCGGGTCATACTGGTCAGGGAGAGAGCCTGGGGCCTGCCCCAGCGCTGGTATCACAGCCAAAGGTGGCAGAAATAAAGCCTCTTTAGAAATACGTCGGGACACCTTCCAGGCCAGCTGCCTAAAGGGTCAGGTCTCTGATCAGGGGAAACGGCCACATGCAGGTGTCCGCTTCGGCAGACCTGCCCAGGGCCCGCGTCTCCCTGGTCTTGCGACCCCTGCCCACCCCTCCTCCTGTAGTGTTGGGTCATGGAGAAGCTGGGCTCACAGTCACCAGGTGGCAGCCGGGGGAGGGGGGGCTGTCTGGTCTAGAAGGGACTCCCACGTTCTTGCAGGAGGCAGTCTTTCCACGGGCACGTCCAGCCCGGCTTAGAGGATGGATGCATCCCGTGTCCCACACCCGTATGCCTGTTTACGTGGTGAACGATCCAGTCTCACTGGAGATGGCTCAGAAGCTACATCAGATGTTTTCTCAACCACAGACCTCAAAGTCCTACGGAATGGAGGCAGGGTCTGTGATAGATGTGGGTGCTGAGAAGAGGGCCCGGCAGGAGACAGATGGATGGTTGTCTGGCTCACAGTGACGTCCCAATGTGCATGTCTGGGCTTTGACCTTCCCGAATGAACTTCAGGAAGTGATCCTTCTCTACCTGTCCCTGTCCGTGGGCTGAATGGCCTGTCCCTCATTAAACAGTGACTGGCTAATCAGAATCCTCCCTGGGACTCTCTGCACTGCATGCGGAAGAGCAGATTTTTTACGGGGCAAAGCTGGGCGGCCAGTTGTGTGTCCTGAATGGGCAGGGCCCAGAGACCCAGCCAAGAGCACCTGTGAGGGGAGAAGACCATCCTGCAGAAAGACCAGAGAGACAGGAGCATAAGACTGGAGGGTCACATGACACGTAAGCCTGGCCTCCTGGCTCATGCTAAGCCCCCGACGTGATCTCCACGAGAGAGCACTGAATCAAAATGCCATCCTTCCTCCTGCTGCCTGCTCTGTTTATTGTTTATGTGACATTATTATTTTTTAATGGGGATGTATTTTAGTGAGTTAGAATTATTGACAAAAAGGCAATGCTGCAGGGTCCTTTCTTTTTAAGTTTCCTGTGTGATATGAAGTAGCGATGTGTGTTGGTTTCCCAGGAAACCAGAGAAGGACAGCAGGTGATTGGACGTGGTGGCAGTTTCTAAAGGTGCACAGATGCCTGGTGAGCAGCTAATAGAGATAATCTCAACACTTTCGGTATTATATTTGCAAGATGAAAGAGTCAAATATTAACAGGGAATTAATTAGATATGAGGTCTAAGTTGGTTGGAGCAGGAGAGATTTTGAAAACTGCTTATTTGGATTTTGAAAACAGTTTTTATCATGAGATTCGAATAGTAGTCCTGATATGCAGTTGTGTGAAAACCCGGTGACAGACCCTCTTATTCTGAACCAGAGGAAGAGAAAGAGCTGCTGCAGGGGTTGTGCGACACCAGCGGCCTGACTCAGAGTGGCTCCAATCAGGCAGGTTCTGGGGCTCCTGTGAACCCATTCGCAGAATTTCCACTTTAAGCAATATTCCTGAAAACGGTTAAAAAAAAATACCTTGGGGAGAAAGGGGCAGCATCGCTAGCTTCTTAGTGAAATAATAGCTTTGCAGAAGAGTACTTCCAGCCAAGACCTTGTAGGGTTTCAGGCTCCTTATTTCCTGGGGCTCTGCAGAGGAGGGTTGGCAGGAGGGGAGGGCATCAAACCCTTGATGAAGCCCAGGGCCCAGAACATGCCTTACTCTTCACCCCTGACATCTCAGCGTGCAGTCTATTTAAACCTAGAAGCTGCCTCCAGTAGAGA